GTAAATCAACTCCACGCATCGTAAACATTTGATAAGAAAGCTAAAAAACCCAAAAATTTAACAAAATAAACTTGAAAAAAATATAAAGGTACTATTAACTATATATTTAATTTAATATATAATATATGAAAATAATTAATAAGTTTATTATAACGGCACATTGGAGTATTAATGGCAAGCCAATTGCTAACAATTTTTAAGTTAGAGATGCCGTTGCACACCCTGTCATATCCCAAATGACGCGCTGGTTCAGAGGGAGGGGAGGTTAAAGGATAAGACTCGATTGTCTTTTTTATTAAATGTATTCATAATACAACTATGATTTATCAACACTTGTATACACATTAATTTTATGAGTTACAAGCAGTTTGAATAGCCTAACCATTAAAGTTTCCTTGTAAAATGTTTGGCTTCAAATCACAATCACTTAATTATATTATTATTTTACACAACCCTAAACTCTCATTGAAAATTCCTGGGCATTACACTGAGTAAATTACATATTTTATGTCGACACTTTGTAATAAATGTTATTTATATACATATATAACCTACTAGGTATCAACATTATTATAAACACTTATATACGGTTATCATCAGAAGATTTATTTGATGGTACATGACATTAATTTTTGGAAGATTTTACTCCTTCGCATTTAAAATAATAATCTTTTAGCTTTTGATTGGTATATTGAAAAAAATTGAAAAAAAATTACATCATTCACACAATAACTGTTATTGGCTACTAACAAAAACGCGTTGCTATGACGTTTTAAATTAAATTGTTCATACGGAATATTTGTCACATCAACAACGGAGTCAAAAGAGAACACATACAATTTCCTTCTAAAATTTACTGAAACCATTAATACTTTAAAGTTTCAAGTGTAAGCAATTTTAATTTGTCTATTATCCCCATATCCGCTGATCAGTGGGCGATTTGTTGACTTTTGAAATATTGGATACGCCAGTCATTGGAGATAGTCTATGCAGACATCTGTCGAGCAGATATTTCTACCAGGTAAGGTATTTTAATCTTCTTCCAACCTTTTTAAGCATTAGACTAATAAATATCTAATAAAATAATAATTTTTAAGAAAATTTTAGGATGTATTTAAGGGTCAATTTTTAAAACTTTCGGAAGATTTTTGGGTCAAATGAAAATAAACAATTATTTTTGTAATTTTTGAAAAATTTTCTTAAGTTTTATAAACCTTATTTTTAAATAAATTATTAACAATTGCCAGATACAAATTTTTCCTATAACTTGTTTCATTCTAGTATCCTATACTCATAAACGTGTGGATACCTGTATTTAACGGGCTGCCTACTATACTTTTGGGTTTTATATTAACAAAACATGTATATTTAATGAAGTGAAAAGTTAATTAGGTATATTTAATATATTATAATGTATAATTAGTTAAATAAACATAAATCAAATTTTTTAATTAATATTGTGGTCATTAGTCCCATCGATATGTTTTCCTTGAATTTAGTATGTATCTTTCAGACAGCTATAATTATTTATGATTTGTACATTTGTAGTCAATTTTAGCTGATGTATTATCATAATAAATTTTTGCACGAAAATTTAGTTTTAGTTTTTATTATAATATATAATAAAATATATATATTATATTATTTATTATATTATGAAACATGATTTATTTTTTGGCGAATATATTAGAATAAATTACATTTAACCTATGCAACATCAGTTAAAATAGGAAAACCTCAATTTCAGACATACATTTTAGGGGCCCAGTTTACTACATTACGGGGGATTCCCGGGTACGGATAATGTTGATTTTGCAAGTAGTAATTGGTTTAAATTTTTTATTTAAAAATAACAGATTATTTGTTATATTATTAGAGCATAAAATATTTTGTGATTATACATAAACAGTTAAAGCTATAATATAATTTAATTAATTTTTTTTTTATTTTGAAAAAATACAATCTGAATAGTTTACATACAATAAGAATTTATGTTAAATTATTAATGTTATTATTTATTATTAATTAATTTGATATTATATTTTATTATTTATGTTAGTATTTAACGAGAGATGAAGTATATTATCATTTATAAATCAAAATGAGTGAGGTCGACTGGGTATGTTTCTCGTCAAGCGTGACGTCTTGACTAACCCCCCCACGAGGACCCACCTTGACGTGGTGGCGGGGCTTGCGTCCCTCAACAGTTCCGATAGCTATGCCAACGGTAGTTTACTACCAACAGGGTCTCCCATGTTGGACAGGTCGACGAACTGAGGGCTGATAAAGCGGTTCTCAACAAAGGGTAGGGAGGGCTCTTCTGCCTTGGGTGGCAGCCGTCCTAGAGGAAGGAAAACCTTGATCAAAAACCCCCCTGGCAGTAGGGTTAAAATGTAGTGAAGGAAATCGCTTGAAAAACCACAATATGAGTTGTTATCAATCGAGTATTGTTACCACTTCAGGGGCTTCGGAAACCCAGTGGTCGGCAGGAGTGGGTGGTTCCGGTGTCAAAACTGGTTCCAATGTAGCGGGCCCACTTCGGTCGTCATCAAGCGACCGCGATGGTACGGGGGTGGTCGACCAGGCCCCCGTTACTCTATCCATTACTGGTGCGAAAAATTGTGTGCCACGTCGACGGCAGCGAGCGACTTGGTCACCGGACGTGATCCTGAAGTCGACCACCGTCGAAAAATTGTATGCCACCACTCGGGATGGTTACACCCAGACAGAGTGTCGGTGGTCCGGGGACCGAGATACTGGTGCTACGGCGACCAAGAAAATGGCACAGATAAAGTAAGCGGACGTCGGCGTTCAGGTGGATGAGCTGCCGGTGACCACGGAAGCGTTCACCGATATGGAACATCTGACGCCGCCCACGGAACTTGGAACATTAAGCACTGGCTGAGAACCATAAGGGATTATATGAAGCGTATCAATGCCAAAGACGGACCCGAGGAAGACTCGGTTGTGACAACCGGAGGGGCTGTGGTGGAAGCGATCGCTTCTACCTACAGTTTCCCCAGTACGTTGCCGTCGGGCCCCTCCGATGGTTCCGCCGCGTTGAAGCCGCCGAAACCGCCGACCACCGCCCAAAAATTTCGGGACCCGTGTCCCTCCGACGCTGTGGCGAAACCGGCCGCTTGGCGGTTCTAGCGATGACCTGTTGCCGATAAGTTGCACTTCTCGGTGTCCGCGTTCCCGGACGTGTTGGCCGTGCACATGGCCCGGAGGTGCGCTTTCGGCACGGACGTCGACCCGTTTTACGGCGTCGGCCGCTTGGCCGTTCGGCTGACGCGCACGTGCCGAAAGGTGATCGCCGTGGACATCGACCCGGCCAAAATACGGTTGGCCCGCCAGAAGGCCGCGGAGCTCGGAGTCGCCCACCGGATCGAGTTTCGAGTCGGCGACAGCTTCGCGGCACTATCCGGAGTGACGGCCGACGCGGTGATCACTTCGCCACCGTGGACGGCCCCGGCGTGGGATCGAAACCGGCGGTTCAGTGCCGAGGATTTGTACAGCCGCCAGAAGGGCGGACTAGCCGGCATTCTTGATTTGGCGCGTGAGATCGCCCCCGTCGTCGTTCTAACACGTGTCCAAAACCATCCACATGTCTCAGACTGTGGATGTGTCGAGAGACCATGGTTTTGGGCGCGTGGAAATCGAACACATCGTTGTTGAGGGGTGGAAGAACTTCTCGAACGCTGTTCTCTACTTGGAGTGGTTAAGTGAGGGCGGAGGAGCGATCGAACCGACCGTCTCCGAAGTGATGTTAAATCCGACGTCGGTAGTAACGCCACGGAGACCATATGCGTAATTACATTTTTAATTAGTAGTTGATGGAAGACATCGGGATGTAAAACATTCTCATTTTATATATTTTTATAAATTTTTATAAATTTTATAAATTGTTATACATTTTTATACATTTTTTATACCTTTTATTGTATGGTACTACTTTTTTCAACTACTTAATTTAATTTGTCAATTTTTTGGTTTTTTTCCCTTCTCAGGGTTTTTCTTTTTTTTTGCCAATTTCATAACATATTTATTTTTTCATATTACCAAGTTTTTTCTTATTTTATAAAAATGTCCACTTTTTTTTTATATTTTCATAATTTTTATTACATTACCTTTTTTTGTGTAGAAATGCTATACTTTTATTATGTTAAAATTAGTGTTTTATTAAATAAATTATTATTATTATATATATATATTTAATATAATTTGTTATGTTTTGATTTTTCTTTTCTTCACAGGGTTTTTTCCTTTTAATCTCTTATAATTATAATTATATAACATATAATTATATTACAATATTACATTGCTACCGAGTATTCACCTTTTTTTATCCTAAATTAACAATTTTCACTTTGGAACATAATATGTAATTTTTTTTTAATATTTTCATGAATTCTACTGCCCTACGGTTTTTCTGTAATGATTGGTAATGATAATTTTTTTTATAATATTAATAAATTGGGCATGGATATTGTAGTAGTAAGATAGTATTCAAATTGATTATAGTATTGCACTAAGATACATCTAAAATTGCATTAAAAAAAATAATGTTTCGTTATAATTCATATAATTACGTTTATTTTATCTTCCATTAATGTATTGCAATTTATATATTATAAATAACAGACTCATTAGCATGGCGCAAATAGGGTGGTGCTTGAGGATGTTACAGCAAAAATTAATAATTGAAAAATTATATAAAAATAATGTTTTTCTTAATTTATGTAGTTATTTTTATTGACGCTTTTATCAAAAAGATGAATAATTCATGACTATTAGCATTGATTATATACTAGTAATATATAATCAATGCTATTAATTAATTACATCGTCATAAATACTTGAAAAATATTCCATTAGTTATCGCAAGATAATACTAGTGTGAATATTACATGTTGTACATTCTATAATATTTTTTTAATTTGTGTAACATTTTAATACTTTATAATATTTATAAATTAAAATATTAGTGTATGTGTGTTGTTATGGTATATTTAATGATTAAATTGAGATATGGTACTTGGAGGGTGTGTGTGAAGGTTAGTGTGAGCTACGTAATTTCAGCACCTCCAATATTTGGGTTTTAGTTGCGCCTATGCTCATTAGTTACAATTTATAAACATGCATGTATAAAGTATAAATAAATATATACTTAAAAATGTTGTTGCATTGAACTGAAACTAATTTTTTAAATTTTCAAAATTCAATATTCGTCGGTTTGGAGGAGCCAATTAGTTTTTATACTTCGAAAAACATCGTTATACGTTGGTTGATGTGAGCGGAGTGTACTTAAAATAAATAAATCGCTTAACGTCAAATCTTCGAGTAAACCATCTAACAATATTCTTTCTCCAGTCAGTAAATCATTTATTATACTTATGGTTTTAAATACTGTATTTTTTTTTTTTTTTTTTATAATTTCAAATAAACTTTTCATTGTTTTTGGTGTTTAATATATAATCTTATTTGTACGCATTTTAATGCAATAATCGCAATATGACGAAACCGATATAACTCTAAAAATAATCAATTTGTCAATCGTTTTGACCATACATACAATAATATCAATAGACAATTATATATATATAAGCAACGCACAACAATACATCATATTCTTCAGCCTTAAAAAAATTGACAGTTTTATTTCATGACATATTTATAAAACCGTTTGAAAAGTATTAAAAAAGTGAAATTTATAAAATAGTTAAAATAGTTTTTATTAATGAGTAAAATCAACAAAATTCATTCCATTTCTACGATGTTGTTATTGTTATAAAAAATGGTTTACACACATGAATTGATTCCACAACGCGTCGTTGACGTGCGTACAACTGGTACAACTAGTTAAAGTACTGTTCCATGTTTTACATGCAGTATTAAAATGGTTAAATAGTGAAAAAAGGCATTCAAGAGTTCATACGCTGGGTAGACAACAGAGCAACATTTTTTTTTGGTAAATTTTTTTTTACCAGACACTGTTATCTGTAAACTTTCACTTTGTCCACTTCGTTTTACAAATCGTACCTATTCTCTCGATAGTGTCGTAGAGAAAGGAATGTGTTACACGTATGCTTATGCATGTTATGATCTGTCAATGCAATTAAATAAAACAATAGAACGCACGTACCTTTTACTCAATACCAACAAAATGAAATAGTGTAATAACAACAACTTAAGCTTAACTTTTTCGCGGTCAATGTCGTAACGATGCGCATCTATCAAAAAAAAAAAAAAAAATATACGTATTCGAAACCGAACAACGGGGCGGTTCATTACCCTTTAATTTGGCCTCGGTACCGGTCCTGTTGTGTTGTACGTGCGCTTAAAACATACATAGGTACATGGCATACGTGTGCGCGTTGGAACGCGGCACCCGGTAAAATCCTTATCCTCCGTTCGATCATGTCGCTACGCGAAACATGATGTTTGCCGGAAAAACGGATTACGGTTTACGTGATTGCGTTCCAGTCGCACGCGCGGACTGCGCATCAGCATTAAATTGCTGTGCACATCGGTCTAGTAACCCCGAGGTGAATTCTAACTTGAACCGTAATAATCGGAACACAACGTCCATGAAGCCAAAACGGTATTCCGGCCGAACCGTATCACGAAAACGAGCCGCACCGCTTTGGTCGGTCGGACGGGGGGGGGGGGAACTGTTTTTCGTCCTTCGACTTGGTTTTGGCAACGTGTTATTATTATTTCTCTGCAGAGCCGTACGGACATCTTTAACCGTAGATGAACGTTAAGCGCCCGTGTAATTATTGTAGCAATGTAACCGCAAACGTACACGAGCACGCGTGACACGTGATATGTGAATTATGTACAAGGAAACATGGGTGTAGCGATAGTGGGGCAGGGGGGGCACTCGCCCACCCCTGCGCCTCAAACTTATATTTGTAACTTATATTTGTTTATACCAAACGTGTATGTTTTACATTAAAATCAAAAATTAAATAAGATATAATCCCAAAAATAGTTTAGTGGGACCGAGTGGATGTCTACACGTGTAATCGTTTTGACGTTTTATGTGTTATCCAATGGTCTGTCTGTAGACCATTTGAATTACGAGTTTAACACTAATAATTTTATGTTTTTGCCCCTCCCCGATTCAAATTTTAGCCCATGCAAGGAAACAATACGAATACTCCGGTGCGTAACGCGAATAAACTCGTTGTGCTGCGTCGATACCGAAACAGCAGTGTGGCGATTAAAATCGATGTTAACAATAACCCGCGGGAACGCAGGTGCGTTTGTCGACACTGATATTTACGATTTCCAACGGTTTTGGCGCAGGCGACTGACGGTTCATGGCTCGAACGTCCGGTGTACTCCGAAGAAGAATCGAAACGAAACGAAGTGATGTCCGATAGCTACGCGACGTTGAAGAACACACGAAATAACTCCCGTCGCTGTACAACACGTTATCAGATCGTTCTAACGTCTGATGTACGTGCACCTTTTTCAGCGGATGTGCCAAAAGAAAACTAGAATTACAAGGAGAAGAGCAAAATGATAAAACATGGTATTATTAGGTTATATACGTGTGTATTTGTAGCAATGATACGCTGATGGCTACCATTTTATAATATAAAAAAAGTCCCGGGAGGAGGGGGCCCACTTGGTGAATATTTTCTGACCACGTGCCTGCACCGAGTATCGGTTCTGGGATCGGCCCACCCCTAGTATTTACCTATGTTTTAAAATTGTTTCAGATTGAAATCGATGCCAATAACGTAACTATTTTTACTTTGCCGTTATTGTGAAAAATATAGCTTACTTATGAGGGACTCAAAAACGTAGTCTGTGATTTAAAATTTTATATAGATTTAAAAAATCCAACCAACCAAAACCTTTAACCTCCATTAGCCCCTCCCTTGGTTAGTGATGAAACCCGAACACGTCACCGGCACGTCACGCGCCCGTATCACGTAATCCGAAATCGACGGCAAGACCACTGGTACCCGGAATCGTATTCGAAACGGGTAACAGAAGAATCATAATAATTGTCGAACGCCTAAGGCCGAGCGCCCACCAAAGTAACGTGACGTGTGGCGTGGCAAGTGATATAGCAAACACGTAACAACAAAATGACGAATGGTGTGACACAACGCCTACCTATGTATCTAGAAACTAGTAACACCAGTTGTCAATATGTCTTCTTCTTCATCGGATGACGAAAGTTTTTTGGCTTTAGTAAATTTAATCAATGTTAATAACAATGTTAATTACACCAACAAAATGTATGTTAAAATCTGGATCGTCTTTCATTTTTAATTTAGAAAATTATGAAAAGAAAAGTTAGAAAATTAATAAAATAATTAAAATAACAATATTTTTCAAAACACTTGTCACTCTAGTCGGTAAAAACACGTAACACGTGGCAAAAAATGGAACATGCTGCATTTGAATGACACCGAAGTAACATGTAGTTTGTCATATCACAGTCGTATCACTTTATTTGGCGTTAAATCTATTAATTACATTGTTTTGATACAAAATAGCATGCTAGATGCATGCTACTTGCTACTTCACTTGCCACGCCACATGTCACGTTACTTTGGTGGGCGCTCGGCCTAAGGCCAAACGCCCACCAAAGCAACGTGACGTGTAGCGCGGCAAGTGACGTAGCAAGTAGCATGCATCCAGCACGCTATTTT